CCCCCTCTGTATATATTAATACATACGTGCAGCCGTATCTAACAAAGCGGTTGCTGGCACTGAGCCTACGGGAAACTTGTCCAGAAGTGCTTTCTGTACACTCGTATAATGCCGTGCAGAACAAAGGCTTTTACACCGCAGGTTTTAGGGCGTTTATCCTCGCTTTTCGTCACTGTCTCCACAATGTAGCACCCCTGCTACTATTTTTGAGCAAGCACCAGACTGTCGTACCTTGCGCCTTTAGGTCTCGTACCGTTACCATACGTCTAATACATTCATACCCACTCTGATCATGCGTATGGTGGCAAAGGAATAGCGCCTTTCATTGGCCTTCCCCGTCTAGGTCGATAAAGAAAGAGGTGCGCAAAAATGATTTTCTAAACTGACGAGCAGCAGCTACATGACAATGAGGGAGGGCACAATGGTTGTCTCCGCCCATGTAACAACATGGACTGCACTTTCAAATCAAACTTAGATTTCGTGAGAGAAACAATGCTCATTGGCTTCCTAATCTTACCTGAACGAAATCCGTCTTCTGTCTGAAGTTCTTGCCCCGTAGACCGAGTGCTTCAGTGTAGGCACCTTTCTGCTTTTCTTCCCGGACCTAGATCGTATCATGATTGAAGCTATATTAGTATAATGACCCAATTAATCCCGCAATCTCGAGGGGGGAGGGGTGTCAGGAAGGGCGGAATGAGCTCTGGATGCCTTGCTCTACCAATGGTGACTGGTTAGGCTGCGTTCATACTTTGCGGCAGGACTAGCGTCCACCAGCGACCAGCAGCGTTTCGAGCGTCCGTCAGCGTCAGCGACTAGGAAAGTATAGATATCAATTCAGCGAACGGCAGCGTCTGCCAGTGTCTATCAGCTTCCACCAGCGACCAGCAGCATCCCGAGAGCTAGGGAAGCGTAGGTTTCAATATAGCGACTGCCAGCGTCTGCCAGCGTCTACGAGTAACCAGCAACGTCCGGGTGTGGAGACTATGGGGGGAAGGGATAGCGGGGTAGCAGACAACTGTTAGAGTGTGGGGAGATAGGAGGGTAGCAGACGGCTGGTAGAGAGTATGGAGCGATAGGAGGATACCAGCTGTCTGCTACTCTCCTATCGCCCCATACTCTCCACTCCCGGACGCTGCTGGTCGCTGGTAGACGCTGGTAGACGCTAGATCGATACCTATACTTCCCTAGCCCTCGAGACGCTGCTGGTCGCCGCCGGACTGTTGGAATGCTGGTAGACGCAATTGGTCGCTGGTGGACGCTGCCGCAAAGTATGAACGCCGCCCTATAAAGATCTATTAGAGAAGAAAAGCCCATATTGTTATGGAATTTTCTCAGGATGGCTTTATTTCAACTTGCCCTCGGTATCAACTCAGTCAACTTACTCGTCGTGTTTTGCCAATAAGTTTTGAAAGAGGTAACTTCACAATCACGTGACCTCAAAGTTGAATCATCGAAGTTTTTCAATGAAATGTGTATGACTTTTTTCAAGAATACCTTTCAGGCATAGAATTTTTGGTGTAGTAGGATCGGTATTCAATACGGTATTCACGGCTTCGTGGCCCATTCGACAGCCGAGCAGTCGGTCGAGGAAGCTCGGGCAACCTCCTCTTTGGAGATAACCGAGAGAAGTTACTCGCACGTCATACTGAAACATTATTTAATCAAGCGCCCGGCGCAGTTCGGCGACAGAGGGGGGGGGGGCATTTTGCACTTTTGCTACTTCCCATCGACGTGTCGACCTATCTAGACAGCCTCTTCTCGAGTTGACAGGTTTTACATGATGGCTTGACGACCTTGCTCCAGCTTCACAAGAGTTCACAGGTTTCGCCAGAGTGAGACTTGTAAACCGGAACTAAGGAAGCAATGATAGTACAAAATGCCCCCCCTTCGTCGCTGAACTGTGCCCGAGTGCCCTTTGAGAAGAGGAAAGATCTACTGCGTAAGTCACATGGATTTTTCTTTACCCAATAGCACTAA